AATGCTAGGCAAGTGCTCCCCCCACTGCTGCAAAGCAGCTGTGACTTCATATTTATTCTGCATGGGTTGGGAGACAGGCTCTTGGGCTCCCCCTAGTGATGTGTGGGAATAGATTACCATTCATGGAGAAAGTCTTGGGAATGCCAATATTGCCAACACAAGACGAAACTGAGGCTGGAGATACTAGATTGAAGTCAGCCTGAGCTACATAGATAAACTTTGTCTTGAGTAAAAACAAACAATAAAACCCAGCAAGTGGTTATTTGGTACCCACAGGAAATCCCAGCTACCCCCAGACCTCCGTGAGCTTTTATCTTTGCTGTGGTGACTTTTGTGTTTGGGCCCGAAGCGTCTGGGTTTTGAACCCTGACTGGGGTAGTAAGGGGGGCCGCGAAAGCTAAGTAACCCCCTCATGCCTTCTCATCAGGTATTGACGTCGTGGACATGGCACACCTCCTGCAGACCCCAGGAGACGATGCAGCCCGCATGGCCTGGCACCTCCGTGACCTCATCGGCAAATTCCAGAAGACCTTCACTGTCATTGAGAAGGTGACTTAGTGCTGGGTGGCATCCCTTCTGCCTGGCCTTCCTCCGCCAGCCTTGACTCCAGCCCTCCTTTTCCATTTCAGTGCCCCAAGCCAGTGATTGCTGCCATTCACGGAGGGTGCATTGGCGGAGGTGAGTCTGTAGCCACTGGCTACCATAGGGTGCCCCCCCACCCCGCAGCGGCCTCAGCCCAGCTGTTGCTAATTACCGTTGGTCCCCAGCTATGACTCCATGTTTTGGGAAGAAGTATTAGTTCCTGTCATTATCCATTGTCCCTGGTTTTTTCCTTCCAGCTGTGGACCTCATCACTGCCTGTGACATTCGCTACTGTGCCCAGGATGCTTTCTTCCAGGTCAAGGTGAGCCACTTCCTGAGCTCCTGCCTTCTGGGACCCTTGCAGTGCTAGGCAGCCGCAGAACGGGGAGGGGGACAGGACAGGGACAGTGCAGGCCCTTGCAGCTGGTCCTCAGGGTTTCCTGGAAGAAGGTGTAAGGTTCCAGAAAAGGGGAGATACACACCTGTAGTCTCAGCCACAGACTTCTGCAGCCTGGCCTATAGACCGTCATGGTTTCCTTTTCTCTTGCTTCGATAAAACCCTTGGAAAAGCAAGGTAACAGAGAAGGGGTTTGTTTTAGCCCGCAGTTCAAGGTCCGGTCAATTGTGTCGGGGAAGTGAAGACAGCGAAAGCTTGAAGGGGCTGTCGCCTCATCAGTGCAGTCAGAAGAGAGCAGTGTGGCCTGGTGTCCAGTCCCCCACATGCCAGGCTCCCACCCACAAGTAACTGCATCAGTTAATGCAGTCAGGATAGTACCTCATGCCGAGCATGGTGGTGCAAGCCTTTAATCCCGGCACCTGGAGGCAGAGGCAGGAGTTCGAGGCCAACCTGGTTTATAGAGCCTGTTCCAGGACAGCCAGGGCTACACAGAGAAACGAAAACAAGACAAAACAACATAAACGGTAGTACCTCATACACTGATGTCTAGACTCTGTCAGGTTGACAGGAGACACTTGCCGCCACATAGTAGGACCCTGTCAGAAAGTGGGCGGGTGCTGTGGGTGTTTGTAGCTCATGGAAGAGGGCATGAGTGGAAAAAAAAGGCTCTGTTAGCACTGCCCAGCACTGAAAGGGGTGCAGGCTCAGCTGTGGAGGATGTCATCGTGGGCACTCCCATCAGGAGTTAGTGGTTTATGCATAGGGACAGCTGGGACGGGGCAAGGGGAGTGAAGCCCAGGGTTCTGGAAAGGGTTCTGGAAAGGGCCTTGTGAGAAAGCGGGGGGGAGGGGGGGGGGAGGCCAGGCAGCAGCGCCCTTTGAGGGTGTCCGAGCTGGAGGGTGGTGGAGCCTCTGCAGGCGATGGATGGTGCACCGAGCTTGTGCGGGGAACAGTGGCAGACACACAGGGGACGCTAACACGTGTCCCCCTCTAGGAGGTGGATTTGGGCCTGGCTGCCGATGTGGGGACACTGCAGCGACTGCCCAAGGTCATCGGGAACCGGAGGTGAGGGGTCATAATGACTCGGAGAGGAGGGGTCAGACCCAGACGAGGGCTCCTGATCTCTCTCCCCTTATGCAGCCTAGTCAATGAGCTGACCTTCACCGCCCGGAAGATGATGGCTGACGAGGCCCTGGACAGTGGGCTGGTCAGGTAGGACCCTGAGTGGCTGATGGCCGGGAGGGGCCCAGGGCCATCCAGGCCAGGGTGGGGTTCCATGGTCTCCTGTGTCCTCACTCCTGAGTCCAAATGGCCCTTCTTGGGGTAGCTACTTCTTTCTCTGAGCGTGACCGTGTGGCTGAGCCCTTTGGTTGGGGTTTCTGCTGTCTCTCTGAGGCCATCAACAGGGGAGAGGGGAAGTGTCCCCTCACCTCTTCCTTCCCCGGCAGCCGAGTGTTCCCAGATAAGGAACACTTGTTGAATGCAGCCTTTGCCCTGGCGGCTGAGATTTCCAGCAAGAGCCCTGTGGCAGTGCAGGGGTCAAAAATCAACCTAGTCTACTCCCGAGACCATTCCGTGGACGAGAGCCTTGACTACATGGTAAGGCCCACCTACACCAGTCATGCCCCCCCCCACCTCCCCACCCCCTTCCCCCCCCACCCCCATCCAGAGAGACCATCGAGGGCCGGGGGTGTGCACGTGCACACGGCCTCCTCTGATTGGTGCCCTGCCTGTCTTTCCCACGCCCTTGCCCCAGGCCACCTGGAACATGAGCATGCTGCAGACTCAGGACATAATCAAGTCCGTCCAGGCAGCCATGGAGAAGAGGGACCCAAAAAGTGTCACCTTCTCCAAGCTCTGAGTGCCTTCCTGACCCTGAGAGAGGAAGGCTCCGTGGAGGGCCATTGCCTTCTTCCATGTGGTCGCCCAGTGTATAACCTTACGACTTAGTTCTGCAGGGACCTTATCTTCACTGCGAACAATAAAGTTGGAACACAGCCTGGTGTCTTTACTGCAGTGGGTGGGAGCTCAGATGCCTGGCTCCAAGGAGGGCAATTGGGAAGGCTGGGAGGCAAAGCTGACTGGGCCAAGAGGAAGTGTGCCAGGCCCTGAGGCCACAGAAGGCTGAAGGGCCACACCTGTTCCCAGTGCCTGTCCCCTCAAGGTGTGGCACAGCACCGTAGGCCTGGGTGCCTGGCACTGGGTTGAGGTCATTGCTACCAACCCTGAGCCTCATGTGTTTCTGCTAAACCCCTGAGCCATCTGTCCAGTCCCTTTAAGAAAATGCTGATTTGAGTCAGGCAGTGGTGGTGCACGCCTTTAATCCCAGCACTCGGGAGGCACAGGCAGGCGGATCTCTGTGAGTTTGAGACCGGCCTGGTCTACAAGAGCTAGTTCCAGGACAGCCTCCAAAGCCATTGAAAAACCAAAAGAAAAAAAAAGATTTATTTATTTCGTGTACATTGGTGTTTTGCCTGCATGTATGTCTGTGTGAGGGTGCCAGGTTCCTTGGAACTGGTGTTATAGGCAGTTGTGAGCTGACATGTAGGTACTGGGAATTGAACCTGAGTCCTCTGGAAGAGCAGCCAGTGCTCTTAACCACTGAGCCGTCTCTCTAGACCCTGTTTTTGCTTTCTATTGTGTTTTCTTGAGACAGGGTTTCTCTGTGTAGCCCTGGCTGTCCTGGAACTCACTCTGTAGACCAGGCTGGCCTCAAAACTCACAGAGATCCACCTGCCTCTGCCTCATGAGCACTGGAATTAAAGGCGTGCACCACTACCACCTTGATTTTTGCCTTTTTATTTCCTGTGTGGGTTTCTGCCTGCATGTATGTGTAGCACATGCACGTATCACCCATGGGTCCCTGAGAAGGATGAAAGGGTGTTGGGTCTTTTGAAGTTACAGGTGGTTGTAAGCCATCATGTGGGTGCTGGGAACCTAACCCAGGTCATGTGATCTTCACTGCTGAGCCACCTCTCCAGCCCTTTTGAAAATTCTTTTTAATGCATTTATTTGTGTGTGAGCATTTTGTCTGCATGTCTGTCTGTCTTAGGGTTTTTACTGCTGTAACGAAACACTATGCCCAAAGTAAATCAGGGAGGAAAGGGTTTATCTCCCTTAAACTTCCAAGTCACTATTCATCATCAAAGGAAGTCAGGACAGGAACTCAAGCAGGGCAGGAACCTGGAGGCAGGAGCTGATGCAGAGGCCATGGAGGGCGCTGCTGACTGGCTTGCTCCCCATGGCTTGCTTAGCCTGATTTCTTACAGAACCAGGACCACCAGCCCAGGGATGGCACTGCCCACAATCACTAGTTAAGAAAATGCCCTACATGCTTGTAACCAAGGCGTCTTCCCGACTGAGCTCCTCTCAGATGACACTGGTTTGTGTCAAGCTGACATAAAATCAGCCAGGACACCATATGAAGATCACTGGTGCCATCTGAGGTCAGAAGAGGGCATGCGATTCCTGGGACTGAAGTGACAGCTGGTTTCCTGCAGGCCAGGCAAGCATTCTACCAACTAAGCCAACCTCAAACTTGCGGCCATTCTCCTGCCTCCACCTTCTACCTGCTGGGGCCCCCAGTACAGTCACGGCTACTCATTCCAAGGACTCTAGGAGGACACTGTCATTTTCCCTCTTTATGATGGGCAGACAGAGTGACGAACGGGCTCTGGATAGCCGGGAAGGGACAAGGGCAGGAGCCCAGAGTCTGGGGCCCCAGCGGGGTGTGTGCTAAGCCTCTCTTATAGCGTGCAGGGTCAGGAGGCACATAGCACCCCCTCTCGCTCTGGCGTGCTTCTGCTGGCCACCTGTTCAGATATTCCTGTGGCCCAGGCCCTGCCCACCTGACCTCACCCTCCCTCCGCTAACACTCCTCAAGGCAGGGCTTTATGGTCCTGATAAAGTCAGGCAAGGTCCAAGTCCAGGCATACTTCCTCTTTGTGGGGGACGTTGGAGGGTCAGCATCCCTGCCAGAACGGGAGACTAGGGTGTGCCCTAGAGATTCCCCACCAGAGCAACTTCCTGAACTCTCCCCTGACAGCCACTCCCTCTAGTATAAGGCCACCTACAACCCGCCACCGTTCCACACTCCCTCACTTCTCCAAGCACAAGCTGTCAGCTCAGACCCTCAAGATGGCCTTTGTCCCAGCGCCGGGCTACCAGCCCACCTACAACCCGGTGAGATGCCCACCTGAGCCCACACCCCCAAACCCCGTTTTCCTTTTCGCCCCTTTAGTTATGCTGGGCAAGCATTCTTCTGAACCATAACTCCAGCCTCTCAGTTCCATCTCCCCTGCTTAAGGGGTTGGGGGGTCTTTGGGGTGTGGGGGCAGGGCTGTGAGAGGCAGGCAGCCTCTGAGTCCCTTCAACTGGCCCCTTCCACAGACTCTGCCCTACAAGAGGCCCATCCCAGGTGGCCTCAGTGTCGGAATGTCCATTTACATCCAAGGAGTAGCCAAAGAGAACATGAGACGGTGAGCCCCCCCCCATCCCCTTTCAATGTGCAAAAGAGAGCAATTCCACTAGGGCTTGGCTTTTTTCATGCTTTAAGCACGGTAACGATTAAACAAAGTCCCCCGTGTTGTTTCCTTATCATTTTTAGTGTGCACGTGTATGTAGAGCATATATACACGTGTGTGTGTGTGTGTGTGCACCCATGCATACATGTGTGTGTGTGTTGGCTAGAGGTTAACCTGAGGAGTCTTTCTCAGGCTCCATCCACCTGTGTGTGTGAGCCCATGTGTGCACATAGCGTGTGCAGGTTTGTGCATACACATGGGGAGGTTACATGTCAACTTCAGTGACAGTTTTTGTTGTTGTTGTTTTGTTTCTGAGACAGTGGTCTCACCATGTAGCCCTGGCTAGCCTGGAACTCACTATGTAGATCAGGCTGGCCCCAAACTCACTGAGATTTGCCTCCCTCAGCCTCCCTGGGATTAGAGGTTTACCCACCTTATCTTTTGGGACGGACTCTCTCACTGGGCCCCAGAGCATGTTGGGTAGGCTGGCTGACCAGTTAGCATGAGGTCCAACTTTCCCATGGCTCCCTCACAGTTGTAAACACCGGCTAAAATGTCCCTCCAGCCCCCCCCCCCCCCAATTCTTGTGTCTTCATTTGGTGTTCCCGCCTTCAAAATAGCCACATGTACTGGGAACAGAGTCTGGATGGGGACAAGGATCCTTGTCCTCAGGTGGGGATCCCAGCATTCTGGAGGCTGAGGCCTGAGGATCACAAGTTAGCATGAGCCCTGACCTACATCATCCCCCCACCAGCCCCCCAAAATGGAAAAAAAAAGACCAAACAAAGACAGATTCTGAGCCAGGCGATGGTGGCGCACGCCTTTAATCCCAGCACTCGGGAGGCAGAGGCAGGCGGATCTCTGTGAGTTCCAGGCCAGCCTGGTCTACAAAGCGAGTTCCAGGACAGCCTCCAAAGCCACAGAGAAACCCTGTCTCGAACCCCCCCCAAAAAGGCAGATTCTATTCCCATGATCACTGAGGAGACTCTGGGGAGATGAAAAGAGACGTGGAGAGGAGAGGTGGCCGCCGCAAGACTCTGCCACGTGGAACTCAGGGTCCCTACCTGCCTGTAGGCTGGTGGATGGTGTCCGGGCCCAGTCAGGGTAACCCCAGCACAGCATGAAGCAGAGCTTCTTTCAGAAGGCTCCACACCCGGGCAGGCAGACCCGAGCCAGCTGTTTCCATGCCACCAGGTTCCGTGTGGACTTCACCGTGGGGCAGGGTGAGGAGACGGACATCGCTTTCCACTTCAATCCCCGCTTTGACGGCTGGGACAAGGTGGTCTTCAACACGAAGCAGAGCGGACAGTGGGGCAAGGAGGAGCGGAAGAATAGCATGCCTTTCCACAAGGGCAAGCACTTCGAGCTGGTGTTCATGGTCATGGCGGAGCACTACAAGGTCTGGACCCTCCCTGCAGCCCTCCCCCTGCAGCTCCCCTCCCTGCAGCCCTTCCCCTGCAGCTCCCCTCCCTGCAGCCCCCTCCCTCCCTGCAGCCCTCCCCCTGCAGCTCCCCTCCCTGCAGCCCCCTCCCCCTGCAGCCCCCTCCCTGCAGCCCCTCCTCCTGCAGCTCCCCCTCCCTGCAGCCCCCTCCCTTTCAGCCCCCTCCCTCCCTGCAGCCCTTCCCTCCCTGCAGCTCCCCCTCCCTGCAGCCCCTCCCTCCCTGCAGCCCCCTCCCTGCAGCCCCCTCCCTTCCTGTAACCCTCTCTCCCTGTGGCCCCCTCCCTCCCTGCAGCCCCCCACTCCCTGCAGCCCCCCCACTCCCTGCAATCCTCATTTACTCTTGCCCTCCCTGCCATCTCCCCTGCTGAGGACATTAAGGCCCTGTGCCTGCTGTGCAAGTACAAAGTGCATTCTTTGTGACTGAGCCACGCTCCCAGCCTTCTTTTTATTTTTCCCATGTTTTTGGTTTTGTTTCATTTGTTTGTTATTTTTGAGACAGGTTCTCTACACAGGCCCAGCTTTTCTAGAACTAGCTATAGCATAGGCCAGCCTTGATCACACAGAGATCCACCTGCCTCTGTCCCATGAGTATTGGGATTAAAGGCATGGGCCACCACAGCTAGTTCTAATTTAAGATTGCACACCTTTAATCCCAGCACTCATGCGGGAAGCAGAGGTAGGAGGATCTCTGTGAGTTCAAGGTCAGCCTGGTCTACATAGTGAGATTCAGGACAGCCAGGGCTACACAGAAAAACCCTGTCTCTTGGTGGGGTTTGGGGGGAGAGGATCCCTTGGCACTGAGGAAATGGATCAGTCACTGAAATGCTGCCTGTGCAAGTCCGAGTTCCTGAGTTCTATCCCTACCAGCCACATAAGGAGCAGGGAGTGGTGGGCCGTGTTTATAATCCCAGCGCCTGGGAGGCAGAGGAGGATCCTTGGAGCTGGCTGTCTAGCCAGCCTAGCCTACTTGACACCTGCCAGGTGTGGTGAGACACCCTGCTTCAAAACAACAAGGCAGACGGATGGAGGGTTCTGAGGTACCGCACTCACAGCTGACCTCTGGCCTCCATGAAAACGTGCACTCACGTGCACCTGCACATACGTGAGCGAGCACACACGCACACACACTAAGCAAATAAACACAATCCCGGCGTGTCATGGTGCCGATGCCTGACACGTGCCTTGTGGCGTCCAGGTCATGGTAAACGGAGAGCCCTTCTATGAATACGGGCACCGGCTGCCGATACAGATGGTCAACCACCTGCACGTGGATGGAGACTTGGAACTTCAGTCAATCAATTTCCTTGGAGGCCAGTCTGCCCCAGCCCCGTATCCGGTAAGGAATCCGGTCTCTTCATTTGCCTCCTGGACCTGTTACTCTCGGGCGTTCCCATCTCTAGTTCCTTTGATGAGTGGGCCCTGGGGACCCTGTGGTGACCAAGACTGTCCGTCAGGAAGATAGACAGATAACCAGACAAGCATGGCTCCCATGGTCAAGACCTTGAGGGGATGCAGGTAGAGAGAGGGTCAGGATCCAGCGAAGGAGGCTAGGGCAGGGGGTCGGTCTTGGGGGCAGGGGGTTATAACGAGGGAGAGTCTGACTTAAACAAGAAGGGCTTCCAGGAGGAGGAAGAGGTGGATACGTCAGAAAATGAGACAAGGAAAGAGCAGCGTACAAATTCAGGACAGGCTGCTTAACACGTTAGTCACCCGGTAAACACAAAGCCACAGTGAGCTGCCACTCACTGCACAGCCATCAGGGTTGCAATGGGACAAACCCTGTGTCCTGTTTGCAGGCGTGTGGACCAGCTAGCACGGCCACCGTATGGCTGTTCAGAGTGTAACTTGGTGCAATAACCTTGGAAATTGGCCAACAGAGCTAGATCTGAATGCCAAACAAACATGGGTCCTAGTGTCCTAGGAGCTCCACACCCAAGTTCACAGTCTATAAGGAGTCTCCAACACACACCCACTGCAATAAAGCAGCACACCACTGCCAAAAGTCTCAGGTTGAAGCTTGCTTTATGGTAGAGCATCTGCCCAGGATCTCCCAGTGAGGCACTGGGGGTGTGGTTCAGTGATAGAGCCCTTGCCTAGAATCCCCTAGTGAGGAGCTGGGGGTGTGGCTCAGAGGTAGAGCCCCTGCCTAGAATTCCCCAGTGAGGGGCTGGGGGCGTGGCTCAGCTAGAATGAGCTAGTTTAGGGTGTGGGATGAGTTCCTGAGTTCCTTTCTCAATATCAACCAATTAGCTAACAAAAGCCTGAAAGTAACTGTCAACCTGGGGGCTGGAGAGACAGCAGTGAAGAGCACTTACAGCACCTCAGGTGGCGCTCACCTTTAATCCCAGCGCTTGAGAGCCAGAGGCTGGTTGATCTCTGTGAGTTCAAGGCCAGCCTAGTCTATATAGTGAGACTGTCTTTAAGAAAAAAAAGTTAAGCGGTGGTGGTGCACACCTTTAATCCCAGCACTCGGGAAGCAGAGGCAGGTGGATTTTTGAGTTCAAGGCCAGCCTGGTCTACATACCTAGTTCCAGGACAGCCAGGGCTACACAGAGAAACCCTGTCTTGAAAAACAAAACAAAAAAGAGGATGACGATCTTTGTGGGAAGGCACTCTGGACAGAATAAGTCACCTGTAGAGCATTGTGTCACTGCGAGAGACAGAGCGGCCGAGACCGGAAGATGTGCGAGTGAGCAAACAGAGAGCCTGGTAGAGACAGGAACCTGGGCTGACGCCCAGGATTCCAGCTTGCTCTAGGGTTGGGTGTGTGAAGCAGACTCCAATGATGACTGGAAATGTTGGTCGTCACAGGCCTGGAAAGAAGTACCAAGGGCCCCATTTGCCTTCAGAATTCCACCTTCTAGATTGATCCTCGACTAGGGGGCTGCAAGGGGCCTGGGACAGAGGGGACTAATACAAGAATAGAACTGACCAGGTATCATCCTAAAGCCACTGGTGCTCTGGTGGTCCATAAATACAGCAAGGTCTGTTCCTGTACCCGAGGGGTCGCCCCAAGGTGTACTCTTTGACGTTTTCCAGTCTAGAATTAGGGGTGCTAACCATGACCTCCTTCCTTCTCTGTGCCCACAGGGATCTATGGGATTTCAGACTTACCCTGTAAGTACCTGCTGAAGGGTGGACAGTCTCCCCCAGAGGTGGAGGATTCATAGCAGAGATTTAGGGCCAGCCAAAGATCTCACCACTCTTTGCTCCCGTCTGTCCATCCTGTAGGGTCCTGGATACCCCCCTCCCCAGATGAACAGCCTGCCTGTAAGTGGGAGGGGCATGGTGGGCGTGTGGAAGGGTGTGGAGAATCTGGTGTGGGGAGAGGGATGGAGACGTGTTGGATGAGGTATCTGTCAAATATTGTATAGTGAAACCCCTTTCTTCTTTTGTAGGTCATGACGGGACCCCCGACCTTCAATCCGGTATGGTGTTCCAGGGGCTGGCTGCTCTTTGGGGAGCAGGTTACAGAGATGTGGGGAGTATGGGGAGCCCAGAAAGGGTGAACTACATGAGGGCTGGGGGTTTTGGGGTGAGAGGTGAGGAGTAAATTGTTCAGGAAGAAACGTGGTTGGGGCCAATTCTGCCTGTCTGTGAAAATGTGACCTTGTACCTCAGTTCTCTAACCAGAGACTGGGTGGGGCCCCATGTTCTCTTTCTACAGCCTGTGCCATATGTGGGGATCCTACAAGGGGGGCTTATAGCCCGGAGAACCATCATAGTCAAGGGATATATACTTCCCACAGGCAAGAAGTAAGAGCCCAGGCTTCTCCCTCCTCCCTCAGGCCCAGATCAAGATCCCCAGCCCTCCTCCCTCAGACCCAGAGATCAAGACCCCCAGCCCTCCTCCCTCAGACCCAGAGATCAAGACCCCAGCCTCCTCCCTCAGACACAGAGATCAAGACCCCAGCCTCCTCCTTCAGACCCAGAGATCAAGACCCCAGCCTCCTCCCTCAGACCCAGAGATCAAGACCCCAGCCTCCTCCCTCAGACCCAGAGATCAAGACCCCAGCCTCCTCCTTCAGACCCAGAGATCAAGACCCCAGCCTCCTCCTTCAGACCCAGAGATCAAGACCCCAGCCTCCTCCCTCAGACCCAGAGATCAAGACCCCAGCCTCCTCCCTCAGACCCAGAGATCAAGACCCCAGCCTCCTCCCTCAGACCCAGAGATCAAGACCCCAGCCTCCTCCTTCAGACCCAGAGATCAAGACCCCAGCCTCCTCCCTCAGACCCAGAGATCAAGACCCCAGCCTCCTCCCTCAGACCCAGAGATCAAGACCCCAGCCTCCTCCCTCAGACCCAGAGATCAAGACCCCAGCCCTCCTCAAGACTCAGACGCTAGACCCCATTTGACACCTTATCTGTTCTTAGCTTTATCATCAACTTCAAGGTGGGGTCATCGGGTGACATAGCGCTCCACATCAACCCCCGAATTGGTGAGGGTGTGGTTCGCAACAGCTTTGTGAATGGCTCCTGGGGCTCCGAGGAGAGGAAGACTACCCACAACCCGTTCGGGCCTGGGCAGTTCTTCGATGTGAGTCTGGGAGTCCCCTCCCCCTTCCCCCCCCAGACCCGGGTCCTGCTGGGCCTTACCCCTCCCTCCCCTCTCCCACAGCTGTCAATCCGCTGCGGCACGGATCGGTTCAAGGTGTTTGCCAATGGCCAGCACCTATTCGACTTCTCGCATCGGTTCCAAGCGTTCCAAAGGATAGACATGCTGGAGATCAAAGGTGACGTCACCTTGTCCTATGTTCAGATCTGAGCGCCCCCTGGGGAAGAGGAAAGACCCCCTAGTTCCACCCACGGCCCTAATAAACCGTCCAAGGGATCTCTGTGTGAGTGTGTGTGATTCATTCACTCCCCCGTGGCTCCCATCCTGCCCCGTTTTCCACACACCTACCCATCCGCCCTCCCCTACAACGGACGGGTATGCTCCAAGCTCTGGCTTTATTTGTGTCAATCCATTCACTCCTCACACCAAACTCCAAGATTAGGAACTGCGGCTGTAATTCATGCATAACAGATGAAGGAACAGGCGGGGGGGGGCCGAAGCTGAGCGTGGTGGTACATGTGTCTAATCCCCACTTGGGAAGTTCATGATCACCCTTAGTTATATACTATGTTACGGGCTAGCCTGTGCTATGAGACCCCGTCACAGAAATGAGGGGAGGGGAGGGGAAAGGAAGGGAGGGAGGGAGGGAGGGAGGGAGGGAGAGAAGGACAATGGCCAGGTTAGGTGTACTAACACATGCCTTTAGTCCCATCACTCGGAAGACTGAAGCAGGAGTGGGGTTCAAGGCTAGCCTGTGCTACATAGTGTGGGACTATACCCTGTCTCTGAAAATTTTTTTGCCGAGTAGAATGTCCTACAATCCCAGCACTTAGGAGGCTGAGGCAGTGGGATTCCAGTCGCATGGAGGCTAGCCTTAGCTAAGAGTAAAAGCATATCTCAGAAAAGAGAGAGGAAGAGAAAGGGAGGGTGGGAGAGAGAAAGGGAAGAGGGGAGGGGAAAGGGGGAAAAGACCGGTTACATAGCCTACAAACTTAGAACCAGGAATGTGGTCTGCCTTCCCAACATCCCATCCTTCCCATCATCCCATCCGTCCACCGGCTTTCCATCTGTGATGTTTAGTTTTCTTTTTTTTTGGTTTTTTTTTGAGACAGGGTTTCTCTGTGGCTTTGGAGGCTGTCCTGGAACTCGCTCTGTAGACCAGGCTGGCCTTGAACTCACAGAGATCCGCCTGCCTCTGCCTCCCGAGTGCTGGGATTAAAGGCGTGCGCCACCAACGCCTGGCATGTGATGTTTAGTTTTTACAGCATTGTTTCCAGCTCCAACACGGAACTCACTCCTTAGATCAAACTCAAAAACATCCACCTGAGGCCGGGCATTGGTGGCGCACACCTTTAATCCCAGCACTCGGGAGGCAGAGGCAGGGGGATCTCTGTAAGTTCGAGACCAGCCTGGACTACCAAGCGAGTTCCAGGACAGCCTCCAAAGCCACAGAGAAACCCTGTCTTGAAAAACCAAAAAAAAAAAAAAAAATCCACCTGTCTCCTGCGTGCTGCGATTAAAGGCTTGCGCCACCCCACCTGGCGTGCCATTGTTTTCCTTGCCAACCTGACACATCTACAGTCACCTGCAGAGAGAGTCTCAGCAAGGGTTCCTCTCAGTCAGGTTGGCCTGTGGAAGCGGCTGTGGGGACTCATTTGAATATGCTAATTGTGGTAGGAAGAGAGCCCACTGCAGGTGGCACCATCCCTTAGGCTTAGGCGGGGATCCTGGACTGCCTATGTGTGGAGAGGGGGTGAGCACAAGTAAGATTTCATTTTCTCTCTTAACTATGGACCTGACCAGCTCAAGGTGAAATTCCCGTCTCCACTTTCCAACAACCTTGAGCTGCGAGCTGAAAAGCCCTTTCCCCTTGAATTGCTTTTGTCAGGGTGTGTTACCACAGCGGCAGAGATAAGAGTAGGCCACCACCTGAACTTTCCATCATTCTCTCCACTCACGGGCCAACTGTAAATCCACCCACCCAGACACAGACCTCTCATCTCTCTGACTTTCTGAACGTCCAAGCATTCATTGCCGGTCCGCCCTCCTAGCTTATCCATCTTCTCGCTCATCCAACCCCGCATTCCCCTCCCAGCTGTCACCTTTCCATGCCCAAACACCTAACATCATAAATGAACCACACACACACACACACAAACACACACACGCCCCTAGCGTCTACCCACCTAACCCTCCTTATACCCGGCTTTCACCCACCCTTCTCCTTCTTCCCTTCCTGCCTCCCTCTCCTCATTTGAGACAGGGGCTTCTATGCAGCCCAGGCCTGGAACTTAAGAGGCCAAGACATCCTTAGAGATTCAACAGTCATCCTGACTCTCAAACGCTGGGATTACAGGCACACGCGCTTAGCATTTTTGTGTGTACTTATGTATGTGTGTGTGAATGTGCATGTGTGTATGCATATGAGTATGTATGTGTGTATGAGTGTGCATGTGTGTATGCATATGAGTGTGTATGCATGAGTGTGCATGTGTGTATGCATATGAGTGTGTATGTGTGTATGAGTGTGCATGTGTATGCATATGAGTGTGTATGAGTGTGCATGTGTGTATGCATATGAGTGTGTATGCATGAGTGTGCATGTGTATGCATATGAGTGTGCCTGTGTGTATGCATATGAGTGTGCATGTGTGTATGAGTGTGCATGTGTATGCATATGAGTGTGTATGAGTGTGCATGTGTGTATGCATATGAGTGTGTATGCATGAGTGTGCATGTGTATGCATATGAGTGTGCCTGTGTGTATGCATATGAGTGTGTATGAGTGTGCATGTGTGTATGCATATGAGTGTGTATGCATGAGTGTGTATGTGTGTAAAAGGAAACCTTTCCTTGCTAGCCGCTTTGGTTTATCCCCCGCCAGTCGCCTGGGCTCTGCCGCTTTGTAGTCCCTAAGTAAACACACAGGAGGCTATAATAATTATGAAGCTGTTGGCCTTGCTTGTTTCTTACTGGCTAGCTCTGACTTAAGTAATTACCCCATAATTGTTAATCTAAGTATTTCTCTTACCGGAGACGTTCCGGGCTTCCTACCCCATGGCGGTTACATGTTGAACTCTCTTGTGTTTCTCCTTCCCAGAATCCTCCTGGACCCCTAGTCCCACCTATCTAGATTTCTATTGGCTCAACAGTGCTTTATTAACAAATGTACAGGACTTCCCCCATCACATGTGTGTATGCATATGAGTGTGTATGAGTGTGCATGTGTGTATGCATATGAACGTGTATGAGTGTGCATGTGTGTATGCATATGAGCGTGTATGAGTGTGCATGTGTGTATGCATATGAGTGTATATGTGTGTGAGTGTGCATGCATATGAGTGTATATGTGTGTGAGTGTGCATGTGTGTATGCATATGCGTGTGCCTGTGTGTATGCATATGAGTGTGTATGTGGGTATGAGTGTGCATGTGTGTATGCATATGGGTGTGTGTGTGTGTTGAGTGTGCATGTGTGTATGTGCATATAAGTGTGTATGTGGGTATGAGTGTGCATGTGTGTATGTATATGAGTGTGTATGAGTGTGCATGTGTGCATGTGTGTATGTGTGTTGAGTGTGCATGTGTGTATGTATATGAGTATGTATGTATGAGTGTGTATGAGTGTGCATGTGTGTATGAGTGTGCATGTGTGTGTATGAGTGTGCATGTGTGTATGCATATGAGTGTGTATGCATGAGTGTGCATGTGTGTATGAGTGTGCATGTGTGTGTATGAGTGTGCATGTGTGTATGAGTCTGCATTGTGTATGTGCATATGAGTGTGCATGTGTGTATGTGTGTATGTGAGTATGCGTGTGTATGGGAGGAGATCTAGGAACAAGTGAAGGAGGAGGACTTCAGGACCAGCCACCCAACTACACAGCAAGCCACGGAGGAAGAAGGAAAGAAAAGATAGATAGAAATAGAGACAGGTAAAAGCCCAGAGGAATAATTTAAGAGAGGCTGGCTAGAAACAAGCTAATCTAAGGCTGGGCATTCATAAGAATAGCCCTGCCGTGGGATGGTCTAAGGCTGGGCATTCATAAGAATAGCCCTGCCGTGGGATGTCTTCCTGCCGCTGTGAATGTGTGTTGCTCTCATCGGTTGATAAATAAAGCTGCTTTGGTCTATGGCGAGGTAGGATAGCGCCAGGCCGGAAATACAAGCAGAGATACAGGAGAAGAAGGGTGGAGTCAGGGAGATGCCAGTCAGCTGTCGAGGAAGCAAGTCACAGAAACAAGGAGGTAACAAGCGACACACTTTCTCCAACAAGGCCATACTCTCTCTCTCTCTCTCTCTTTTTTTTTTTTTTTTTTTGGTTTTTCGAGACAGGGTTTCTCTGTGGCTTTGGAGGCTGTCCTGGAACTCACTTTGTAGACCAGGCTGACCTCGAACTCACAGAGATCCGCCTGCCTCTGCCTCCCGAGTGCTGGGATTAAAGGCGTGCGCCACCAACGCCTGGCTAAGGCCATACTCTCTTAATCCTAATCCTTTCAAATAGTGCCATGCCTTGGTAACTAAGCATTCAAATATATGAGTCATTTTTTATTTCTATATTTTTTACATTCTAATTCCAGTTCCCCCTCTTCTCCTCCCACTCCACCACCTTCTCCCCACCCCACCTCCCATCTACTCCTCAGAGGGTAAGGCCTCCCCTAGGAAGTCAACTAAGTCTGTCCCATCACGTCATTGGGGCAGGATCAAAGCCCTCCTGCTGCTCTGTGTCTAAGCTGAGCAATGTGTCTCCAGAGAGAATGGACTCCATTGTAAAGAGAGGCTTTTTCCTTGGCAGCGGCTTGGTTTCTCCCCCAGCCAGTCGCCTGGGCTCTGCCACATTGTAGTCCCCAAATACAAACAGGAGGCTATATTAATTATGAAGCTGTTGGCCTTGCTTGTTTTTTTTTGGTTTTTCGAGACAGGGTTTCTCTGTATTGTTTTGGAGGCTGTCCTGGAACTAGCTCTTGTAGACCAGGCTGGTCTCGAACTCACAGAGATCCGCCTGTCTCTGCCTCCCAAGTGCTGGGATTAAAGGCGTGCGCCATATTGGCCAACAGTGCTTTATTGACATATACACAGGACTTCCCCCATCACTCCACAAAGTCAGTTGAGGCATCAGAGTTACTTCTTGGTCCTTGTGCCCCAAGCCACACAATTGTCACCTGTATTCAGGAGCCTAGTTTGGTCTTATGTAGGTTTCCCAGTGGTCAGTCTGTAGTGAGTGATCTCTCACAAGCTTGAGTCAGCTGATTCTGGGGGTCTCCCCATCATGGTCTCG